AGAATACAGCGGTAGATGGCTAATTGGAAATTTAACTGAAACGAAATTATTTAATCGGCTTATTAAAGGAGCTAAATGTCTAACTCAATATTTTCCGTGATATTTGAAATTAAAAACACGAACTGGAATTCAATTTTGGTCCATTTCCATCAATATTTATTTTGATATCTTGCCGTGAAAATATGGGATCCTAATATCAAATATTTAAGACACAAGGAACATTTTATAATCAGTACACGAGTCGTCTATTTCTGTGGTTTCGGGTGCCATTTATAATGAACAGAGAACAAGGTATCCTACCAGACATTGCGGAAGTAATTAGTAATAGGCGATTCACAAACTGTGCACGCGCGTTAGATTGGAGTGGGACTATTGTTCTAATTCCATTTTTGTGCGGGTATCTTGTCTAGCTTTATATCAACTAACTTGTTATCCGGGTTATCTCCAGAGATCTCATGAAGTTGTCTATTATCATGTGATCTGTATGGAACCTTACAGAAATATATGAGCGAATTCAAATATATGTGTGTAGGTGAAAATGCCACGGTCTGGTCAAAATTCTCTCGTCACGCATTGCGCACAAATTATGTGACGTCACTTTTAGATTCATTCCTTTCCTTTTATCCAAAAGTATTAACTGTTGCATGCCGGTTATAAACCAGATGAAAGTAGACGTCATTGTCAGGTGATCCGTTGTCAGGGGTTTCACCTGCTGGTTCCCGGGAGAAAGTTTCTCTCTAATTGGTCCGTCAAACTATCAGTGTAAAGTTTTAATATGGTGGTTTATGGGCTTTATTAACTTCTAATACTATTGTTACACGGGTTAACAATGGCGGGCTAACGTGTTATTAGGGATCGTGTCCCCCCAGTCGACTATTCTACCCATAATAACAATACTGACGTTAATAAGAGATGACAGACGAACACGGCTATATACAAGTTCGTTTTTAGCTTTTCGCGTCCCGTTATTAACCCAGGTTAGACAGGAGTCTTCATTTGTTATGTCATTAAGTAAACCAATACTCGCTGTATTCAATGGAGCGAACGTAGCCTAAAGCTTTCCAACAAGACTAGACGTTATATTTAACACACGTTTACCCGCATCCCGCTCTAATATTGTGACGGTCAACTTTAATGATGCTTTCTAAAATGTATTATTTCTTTTGGATGGATATCTTAGTTTTATTTCAAAATCATTTTTATAGATTGCTTTTAACGTCCAAAAAGAAAAAAATCGGCGCAAAATTCCCGAAAAGATTTATTTTGTTTACAACAATTATTACGGAACCACTCATATGATTGAATCTTTAACAATATGTTATATAGTTCCAAAATCTCTACAAAACCAATAAATAGGCCTAATAGAAAATAGCACGTGCCTAGATTCAAATTTCTAACATTTCTAAATTAAGACAATGTTTGTTCAGTGTAAATTTTCATTCTGTTTCATCTTATTTCTACTATTAAGACGAAAAATGTCTACTTTATTGTCGCTTTACATGTTAAGTATGAACGTCGAACAAATTTAGAATTTTTATGTCGCCACCGTGTCTTAATTGCAACTTCCAAATTAATGTTTCTCACTCAGTGCAGAGCTAGACCTATTTAAGCTATGGTTTGAATTGCAAACAGAAGGCCTTGCAGATACACCCTACCTGTCATATTAATTAAGTTTATAACTGACATTTATTGTTGTATTATTGTATTTTTCAGTCAATCATTAAATATGCTGCTTAGAGAATTAAAGTATTTCAAAAACTAATCTTGAACGAGTGCGTTTTACAGGCCTAGGCCTACTTGTGTAAATCAAATCACGTCAACCCTAAATTAGGCCTATTTGTTACCAATCGGCGAAGACCTAAAATTACTTTTTAATCCGAATGCGGAGGCAAATGTATGTCAAAATTGATTTATTTATTTACTTAAAGAAAACAAATCGCGATAGTTCTCTGAATACAATACAATAATTCATGTTTTCAGTAGGATAAAGGCTTACGTTCGAAATTAGATCACAGAATATGATATAATAGTCGGGTTGTCAGACATGACAGCGAAATAAGAAAGTTTATGTTGTAGAAATGATTATATTGGATGAACTGAAACTAGACGTGATTAAATTGGTAATAACCGATACCCGCTCTCTAAATTACGTCTTCTAACTTCATTAAAACCTCACCAAGGCAGATAAATTAGTCTTGATGTTGCTGCTTGTTTTAACTCTAATTATAGGTTAAGGGAGATAACTACCGGGTACTTGCAGTGAAGCCGGGATAGTTAGTCATCTTTACTAGCAAGAAGAACGAAACAGTGAGCATTTAGCGGTTTATTTACGGTGATTTCATTAAGGCAAATCGGCAAATATCGACTTTGATTGTCTCTGATCACCGCTTATTATCCACCAACCTATCCATCAAAATCATCATCATCTTCCGCACGCGCCGAACACAAGCACATCATCGTTCCATCAGCTCCAGTCAGCTAAACGATTTCCGTGTCAATTATCCACGAGGCTGACTTGAATGAACGTTTCCTGTATTTGATCTTCTCCCGCTGTAAAAAGACTTCAACTAACGGATGATTCCCCTACTTTAATATAATTATATTTTTCTTGTTAAATTGAATCCAGAAATTTGAGTAACATTTGAACCATATTTTGGAATGATTTTTATTTTGTCTCTAAATGTCACGGACCTCATCTGGTATTCTAGAATTATTTTCATCCGGTAATAAGGAAATAATGGTAACGGTCCTGTCGTAATCAAAGATGGTGAACTAGTTTAAATTTCAGTAAGATGTTTTGTAGCTGTATTTTGTTTGATGTTTTTTTTTTTGTATCTAAATATCGCTAGTGATCTAGCAATTGTTTTTAACCATAAGATTTGTTTTACAATTGTAATAGTGCTGTGGATAATGCGCAGACCATATATATATATAGAGAGAAATGGGGTTTAACGTCTACTCGACACAAACTAGGTCATTTCGGGACTAACATATGGTTTAATTTTATTTCAATAATTCGCTTGCGCTTAGGGGTCTTTAGCAGTGGGAGGAAACCGAAGGACTCGGGGAAAATCCAGGAGGTTGGACAGGCGACCCTACTCCTTGTCACGTACAACCGGTGATTCGAAACCACGCCAGTTGACTCAATGACGGGCTTTATGATACAGCGCGCACGGGCTAACCATTCGGCCATCCAAACCCCCAGACCATATAGAGGAAGGAACGAATAGATCCCACCCGATTTATCAACAAACGCACCTAATGTATAAATAATAGAATACAAAAACAAAGGCATTTATTATATTGCTTATTGACTGTAGCTTTTGATTGCGTCAGAATGAGCGCGTGGACGTAAATAATATAACAAAATTCCGGAATATCATCATATCCCAAAACAGCCTAACCAATCAAATTTGAAAGTCATATTTTATTTCATTCATTCTAGGCGAATATCCACGATGTTAGGAGGCGATCCTACTCCTTGATACATTCATAGCGTACCAGGATAATATGGCATTCATATTTGATCCGACTCCCATTTTTGTGTCCTAATATTTCATTGTTGTTGAAGATTTTGTCTTACTCATTGGTTTTAATCTTAACACCCCTAACCCTGATTTTATAGGTTTTAATCTTAAATACCTAACCCTAACCCTAATCCTAAAATGTAAAACTGTTGGAATGTAAAGTGATGGAAATAGAAAAGGGCGTCGGATCAAACATGATCGCCGAAAATATCCAGGATGTTAGGAGGACGACCCTACTCCTGGTATCGGACACATGACATTCACAGATAGCATGCGTTAAATCACCTTACTTGCACGGCCTGTATGTTGGAAAACCAGTTATTGCCATGGCGTCTTATTGCATATTCTTTCATATTGTCTTCACATTTTGAAGTTCGATTTGCATGCGGCTGTATATTGTCGTCACGCTTGTCCGTCCACTCTTACGATAGGATCAGCATCGATTTGAATAAAACTAGTTGCCTTATGCGATCATAATGGAGTTAGAACCTTGGCGCGATTCGATCGTTCCTCTGCTTCGACTGTGTCTGAAGTCTTTTCTTTTCTGGTTGTGTTTAGTACACTACAAGTAGCTGGCAGTTTAACGGCTGCTTCTACGAAATCAAATGAAATGAAATGGGGTTTAACGTCCTACCGTTTTGCTCCTACTGGGGTAATGAAGACGGGCATACGCCATACAGTGTGCTATGAGGGAAATTTTGCCCGGGCAGCGGCACTACGGCTACTCTTATATCGAATTCTAACTCCCAGGGGATCTTTTACGTGCACGCCAATGTGTACACGGGACCTCGGTTTTTCGTCTCATCCGAAGGACTAGACAGCTGTCCTTGTCAGGCCCTCCGTCCTGCATCACTGACAAGGGGAAACCACGCCGGAAAATCTGGATGAACTTTCTCGGCCAATGAAGGGATCGAACACCCGACCTCCAGGCTAGCGAGTCAACGTCTTACCCACTTAGCCACGTGATCCCCGGCTGGTTCTACGGTAGTGATGTCGGAGTAACATGCAGATTATTATTGGTCAACCCCAGATTGACCTACTAATCAAAATCCGTGATCTATAGAATTAAGTGAAATTATTGAAAGTTTTGTTAATTGAGATCTATCTTTAGATCTCATGCGAATAAATGGAGAGAGAGAGAAATGGGGTTTAACGTCCACTCGACACATACTATGTCATTTCGGGACTAACATGGTTTAATTTTATTTCAATAATTCCCTTGCACGTAGTGGTCTTTAGCAGTGGGGGGAAACCGGAAGACCCGGAGAAAACCCACGAGGGTCGACAGGCAACCCTACTCCTTGTCACGTACAATCGGGGATTCGAAACCACGCCAGTTGACTCAATGACAGGCCTTATGATACAGCGCGCACGTGCTAACCATTCGGCCCCCTCCCCCCGAATAAATGGAACGAAGATAATGTTTGATCATAATTAGATTGCCTCTATTTCAACACAAGTCACAACACAAACGTTTTTAATACAAAATTTTATATCATATAAGCAGTATGGTAATATACAAGATTTTGGAACTAAATAATAATATTAATAATAATAATGTGTATGCACAATTTGACAAGTTTCTGAATTATATATAAATGTATTAAACCCTGCTTACAGCTCTATTAGTAAGTGTAAATTCACTCGACTCAACCAAACTATAATTAGAGATAAAACTGGTTTGGGGAATCTGATTAAAGTACAGATCTATATTTCGTTTCGTTATTTACACTTTCGATGGCCTCGATTAGTGTAGTGTAGGGTTAGTTCTATTTGATTAGGCCAACTTCAAGTTAGGTCAAAGGTCATGAGATGTAATCAGTGCTAGCGCTAATCCCAACCCTAACCTTGGACCTAGCCATAACGATTAACCTAACTTACAATCTCGCCAACAATTACGTTTCAGCAACCTTGACGAAAATTGAGTTGGCCTTAAAAAATAGACCTAGCCGTAGTGAAGACAAGTGAAACGAAATTTCGAACTATAAACAAACGAAACATCTGTGTTTTAAATCTGATCGCTTGATTGGGTAGATTCAATCCATACACAAAATGAGTAATACATGACACATTCTATCTGGTGGTCTAGAATAATATTTAATAGTGACCGATTTCCTTTCGTACTACAATCCACTTTAACAGTGCATGGGGTTGGGTATGCTTTAGTCTTTCTAAAACAATTGATATCCATTTTCTTCTCCACAGTCACTTGGTGATCCAAGAAGGGCATTTCAGGGGAAGTGCCCATATCACCCAAACACTGGTTAGACTACTAACCCGAACACCTTTACTTAAACAGCTTTAACTCAAATGTTCCTTTATGTCAAGTAAAAACAAAAACCAACACCATTGTCAACTGAATGTCTGCTTGACTAATTATATACAAAATGGAGGTGAATAATATTTACTTATTTATCACCATGGTCATTTATACCCTGGTCTAAATTATTCAATTAGCAATTGGTGTTAAAACTTATCAAATCCTTAAAGCCGGGCGGGCCTTATTTACCAGAACTTAACCTAAGCTTTTCATTGGTGATAGCTAAAACGTATTATACATAGTATTTAAACGTATTAAATAAAACTGGTTAATTTAGAATAAAGGACTATAACTAACACTAATCCAAGTCCTGAGTGGAGTTGGCCATAATACCAGGTTATAATAGTTCCTGGATAACCATTTATGTATACTTGCCAAAATCAATTAGGTAACTCTGGTAAGCCGTAAGCAAATCGTGCAATAATTTCCAACCATCCCAATATTGTTTTTTGAAATTTTCCAGACAAATTAAATGATTATGTCACATTTTAGTGTTTGATTTATAATACATTACATATTAAAATCCACTGTTGTTAAATTTGCGGTGTCATTTGAAATTTGGATTTTACCTTTATCTTGTATTTTAAAAAATAGGCGGATTTTAAACATAATTAAGTTTATATAATTGTAAATATGGCTTTTTAAAAATATAACAGAATTTTTCGGATTTAACAAATAATTAAGTTTGGGATGTAGGGTACAAGGGGGGTTGGATGGCCGAATGGTTAGCACGTGCGTGCTGTATCATAAGGCCTGTCATTGAGTCAACTGGCATGGTTTCGAATCCCCGATTGTACGTGACAGTGAGTAAGGTCGCCTGTCCAACCTCCTGTGTTTTCACAAGGTCATCCGGTTTCCTCCCACTGCGTGCAAGCTAATTATTGAAATAAAATTAACCCATATGTTAGTCCCGAAATGACCTAGTTTGTGTCGAGTGGAAGTTAAACCCCATTTCTCTCTCTCTGTAGGGTACAAAAATCTTGTGTTGGGACTTGATTATACAGCGATAACTTTCTTTTATTAAAATTAAAAAGGTATTATTATTTTTTTTTTTTTTCTCTACAAATTGAGATTTTTTAACTCTTAGATACACCAGAGTTGTCTCCCATATAAAACATCTTGGATGCTGGCAAGATAAACTGACTACAACAAACCAAGACATGGTGTTCAAGTGCTAATAAATATATAGTTTTTTTTATCAATGAAATTAATTGGTAATATACATCATAAATAGCATTCAAACAAAATATATATTCATTATAATTATTCCTAACTTATTATAAACATTTAATTCTGTCTTTTTTTCCAGTCCAACTTATCACATTAGAACCATATTTGAAAAGTTGGAAGGTTTTATTTTTTTACCGCGTTGATATACTATAATTAATTCTCCAACGCTTGTGAAGGGTTTTTACTCTTTTAACATTGTTAGTCAACTTGTTAGTCCATATATGATACTCAGCAAGGGGAAGAAACTCATGTTTCAAAATCTTGGTAAGAGGAAGTCAAATTAAACCTACTCCCCATTACGCATGCCAAATATGTCTTAATACAACGTAAATGAAATAGTTATTTCTCTACCAAGCCCCCACCCCAATCATCGACATTTGATTTTAATAGCTATTTCTAGCTTACAAGCCTTCTCCATAATCCTTTCAGTACATCTAATGTTTTTGATTTAAAAACTATTCATTAAGAAGCTAATTCATAATTCAAATTTTAACTAAACTATTATGTGGCCCATGAAGCAAGCAAACTAATTAATCTAGAATAATAAATAGGACTATATTCCAAGTAACCAACTGTCATGATAGTTAAATATTGCTAAAAAAAACAACAACACTGGAATATGCCATACAAATAAACGCATATTTAACAAGTACATTGTAACAAAACAGGTTGCGTATAAAAATGAAGAATCCTTAAAATTTCAAAATGTACAATTTACAGTTTTATTAACAATTGTTGGATATTAAGGGTTCCCGAAACAGTATGAATTTGACTTTGCCACACAATTAATGAACCACATGCTTTTCTCCACGACTTATTTTAACTAACATTACACTAATTTTAAGTAGTTTCTAGTATCTGAGAAGAAAGACTCATGGCAATTCATCTGACAGAATATTACATATGTTATTTGTTAATCAATCTATGAGAAATACTGAATTTATTTTATATTTTAATAATATTAATTTCAGGATAAATTCCTTTTCAAGAAATAATTTTAATCTTTGATCTTGAACAAATCACAGTTATTCCAAAATGCATAGAGACTACCATAGGGTGATTAGCAATCACTAAAAACACCAATAGTTTTGTTATTACAGTAATTGTATAAATATTTGTTCAATTTATGAAAATGTCCCCATCACCGTCCTACCATAGCCTCCACACGATTCTTTCTTTTGTTAACCACTGTTTAAAACATTTGTGGAAGATGCATCGAGGAGAATATTTCTTCATTTAAATCATTTGATTTCACATACCACAGTAAACAATTCCTTACCCTGTTTTATAATAATATGGTACTCCACTCCAGTCATTACAGGCTTTATTAAGTCTAAAGCAGGAATTTAATAATTGATTTTATTAATGCTGATGACTCAATGAAACAAACAGCAATAACAGACTAAAACCTATTCTAAACCCTAATTCCAGGTCACACCGAAATTCCATGGGGGTGGGGGGGGGCCTAATCCCATGCCATACCCTAATCCAAAATCGAACAGTAATCTCAGATCAGACCCTAACTCAAAACACTAATCTTGATGCAATCTGAAGGTAAACTGAAATACTAATCCAGATCAAACCTGAATGCCATAATCTAACTAGAACAGATAAAATCACTTCGTCACCACCAGGAGGTACAGATTATAAAGTAGATTAGGGGATTGTTTACCGTGGTTTGGTAGAATAGCTTGTCTTTAAAGTTGATAATAAAATCTTCCAAGTATTTATGTTATATATATATATATATATATATGAATGTATATATTTATGTCATAGCACCAAATACAGGATTGTGTCTACATATACTAGGTCCATGTTCATCGTAATCAGCCTTTGTATGGCAAACTTGGTAAAACTCAGGCTGAAATCACAAAAAATACAACACTTTAAACATTCATTATGTAAGATTTAAATAAACAGCTGAGATTTCTTGCTATGATAGTTACAAAATAGATAATGAAAAGAGAATACATTGAAAATTTCATATCACTGAAATTCTGAGCAGAGTTGGCATAATAGTGGTTAAATCATTAACTGCCCATAGTATTTAAATCTGTTGAAGATTCTAGTGAGATGATTATGGGCTTGGCATGTAAATAAATCTCTAATTAATGATTTATATAATGTTTGGGGCAGACTTGGCTCTTGAATAATGTATTTTTAAACCTGCTCATCCTCATTTGCATTTTTTTGGAAAATATCAGATTTTTCTACGATTTAATCTAGGATAAAACATTCTTCAGTTGGTTAGGTAACATTTAATTAAACATACATTATGCAGGAGCTAAATCTGCCAATAGCAGGTCTTTCTTTAGGCCTGAACTGTTATCTAAATTATTAATTAGACATTAACTAACTTATCCAGACCAATATCAACTCTCGATGTCATCGCTAGCCTGCGATATTTATTGGATTAGAATCCGATTTGCTGCTCAACTTTAATTCATGATTTAGTAATGATGACCGGGCTAGGCCAAAATTTCAATCGCTAAATTCTCGGTTCATAGTGGATCAATTTGAATGAAATTTTCAGCAAATTGCCTTTACATTATCTAGTTTTTAACTATTATAGTGAGAACGTATCATGTGTAGGCTTATTTTAAAAGAACTATTAATCTTTCAGACTTGTGCCTAGGGGGTCTTTAGCTGTGGAAGGAAACCGGAAGACCCGGCTAAAATCCATGAAGTTGGACAGGCGACCCTACCCCTTGTCACGCGTACACATTATACCACTAGAGTAAGACCATCCAATATCCCCCTCATGAGGTTGGACAAACGACCCTACTCTTTGTTGCATCCAAGCGGGTAATCGAAACCACGCCACTTGACTCAAGTGTTAAACCATGAGACGATTGAACCCCGTTATAATATATAACATACCGTTGAAGCTAACATACTGCCTCCGAACCAGACAGCATATCTCTGCATTGAATGGGATATTACATTACAATCTATTGGTTTCGGCTGGAAAAAAAAAAAAAAAAATAATTCAACATACTTTATGCTAAATTTAATTCTATAATTTAAAAAGAATGGTGTGAGTTTTTACACCAATACCAATTTGCCTAGCGTTGATTTTACCAATAAACAAATCAAATAGGACATACATGTATACTTCCATTTTTTTTGGCACATTTGAATTTCACCACAAACTGGGGCTGAATAAAGGAATTCATGCTTTAGGAGCCTCCACAACACAAGAGAAATTTACTACATGTGTAAATCAATGTATAAAGATAGGTTGCCAGGCAACAAAACATACGCCCACAGCAGCCAAGTCGTCTGGGGAGTCAACAAGGGTTGTTGCATATTTTTTTCTTTTCTCAGAAATGAAAACACTTACAAAACAATAAAATCTGATTACGAGTAACAACCCATTTGGCTTCTAGTTCTGCCCTATTCTAAAATTTAGCATACAAAAATTTAATATCAATTGGAATAATTGGAAATCGTTGAAAATTGATAGGCTTCTTCGTCACATGACCGTAAACACTGTGTATAAATGTAAAGTCAATCAGATATTAACTTTAGCATCAAGAGTGTCCACAATATGCCCAAGGGCCATAACTCTGGCAGCAATTATTGGAAATCAATGAAAATCAATAGGCTTCTTCGTCACATGACCTTAAACACTGTATAAATTTAAAGTCAATCAGATATTAACTTTAGCATCAAGAGTGTCCACAATATGCCCAAGGGCCATAACTCTGGCAGCAATTATTGGAAATCAATGAAAATCAATAGGCTTCTTCGCCTCATGACCTTAAACACTGTATAAATTTAAAGTCAATCAGATATTAACTTAGCATCTAGAGCATTCACAAGATATTTTAAAGCAACTTTGGATGCCGGGCCGACGACAATATACGACCACATTTCAATGTAGGCGTATAAAAAGGCTCAATTAATATACAAATGTACTGCAGTAAATATAATATGACAAACCAAGGGGAGAGAGAGAAATGAGGTTTAACGTCCAATCGTCACAAACTAGGTCATTTCGGGACTAACATATGGTTTAATTTTATTTCAATAATTCGCTTGCGCGTAGGGGTCTTTAGCAGTGGGAGGAAACCGGTGCCCCCGGAGAAAACCCACGAGGTTGGAACAAACCAAGGGAAGTCAGTGAGTAAATTCTTAACATTCATAAAACACATAACTGTGTTTCTGGTGGCTTCACTGTACCTGTTGTTCAGATACCACATGTAAACGACCAATAGAAATGTAAATGAACTTACCTTGATTCTTCCACCACTAATATCCTCAGATATCTTCAGTCTATTATCAACTATACGTTTAATATCTCTCTGCATCTTTCTACCAAAATCTTTAAACATTGTTGAACCACCAGATAAAACTACATTCTACAAAACATATAAACAATTAATACTTTAACAGACAAAGATATAAACAATTAATACTTTATCAAAGATATAAACAATTAATACTTTAACAAAGATAAACAATTAATACTTTAACAATGATATAAACAATTAATACTTGATAATAACCTTGAATGACATTTTGAACTAGACATTCATAGTAACACAACTTTATGGAAATGAAATGGGGTTTAACATCCTACTTTTCTGGCTAATGAAGACAGGCATAAGCCATGCTGTGTGCTATGGGGGAAATAATGCCCGGAAAACATGTGTCCATGTCAGACTCTCCATCCTAGTTAGTAAGCCAGCAAGGTATTCAGTAAACCCACCTTATATAAACCACGTCTAACATCTATTGGACAATTCTGAATAACTTCATCTACAACTTCAGATATAGGTGTTGTAAAATCTGGATTTGAAAACTGAAAATAAATATTGATTGATATTAATAAGATAAAACATTCTGTCCCACTAATGCTATACAAAATAAATCCCTGTGAAGAAATCATTAATATAATCCTTCTTTTACATCAGGTTAGGTTAAGTAAGAGTAGAGAGAGAGACAGACAGAGAGAGAGAGAGAAAGAGAGAGATGGGGTTTAACGTCCACTCCACACAAACTAGGTCATTTCGGGACTAACACATGGTTCAATTTTATTTCAATAATTCGCTTGCACGCTGGGGTCTTTAGCAGTGGGAGAAAACCAGAGGAACCAGAGAAAACCCATGATGTTGGACAGGCGACCATACTCCTTGTCATGTACAATCGGGGATTCGAAAACCACGTTGGGGTCTTTAGCAGTGGGAGAAAACCGGAGGACCCAGAGAAAACCCATGAGGTTGGACAGACGACCATAGTCCTTGTCATGTACAACTGGGGATTCGAAAACCATGCCAGTTGACTCAATGACAGACCTTATGATACAGCGCGCACATGCTAACCATTCGGCCAACCAACCCCCATCCCCAGGGTAGGTTTAAGTTGAGTGGTTAGGAAGCAGAAGTCTTCAACTTGTTTGTGAATAGGCCAAGAAACTTTCAGATATTTTCAAGCTCCGTCTTCACTTGGGGGTGATGCCATCGAGGATGACACAATGCTTCAATATTTAATGACCTTATTTGCAATAATTAGGAGGTTACCAAAGACGTCAACTGGGACAGAATTAGGACCTCAAACAAATTCTACTGTTCTGCTCCGACTGGGCTAATGAAGACGGACATACGACAAGCAGTATGATATGAAGGATATTTTGCCCGGACAGTGGTGCTATGGCCTACTCTTATCGAATTCCAACTGTCAAGGGATCTTTTCCATGCACGCCAATGTGTACACGGGACCTTGGTGTTTCGGACCATCTGACCGACTAGACAGCTGTCCTTATCAGGCCCTCCATCCTGCATCACAGACAAGGGGAAACCACGCTGGATAATCCTGATGAACTTTCTCATCCAACACCGGGAGCGAACCTCCGGGAGCGAACCTGCCACCTCCAGGCTTGCGAGCCAGCGTCTTACTCACTTAGCCATGGTGGCTCCAGGTGATAGATGATAATATTATGTACATTTTTATACCTTTAGTGTTAGTACTCCATGCATTCAGGGATGCACACAGAGAACGACCTGTAGCCAAATAATTTTAACTTCCACCTTGGTTAATACAACCAGTGAAGTTTGTTATATTGAACATTACCAGAGGAAACATGATGTATTTGATAAATTTTGAAGATGATTCTGTCATTGATCAGCACTCAGCAGCCAATGAAGTGATTTCAAAACCTGGTAACAATTCAAGTAGTGATATTTTGCACAAGTTTAGTTTTCTAATATAGGCTCCAGATGTTTCTACTAACAATCTAACATTGTAAACAATCCTGCAGAACAGCAGATTCCTGGATAATCAAGTCTGCAGAACAGCAGATTCCTGGATAATCAAGTGTCTTATATGGATTCAGTAACTGTATGGAAGGAACACTTCCTCTTGATCTCTTTTCTACAGAACAGGAAATGAACAGGGTTTGACTTCCTACACCAACATGGCTAATGAGGACAGGCATCCACCTGGCTAATGAGGACAGGCATCCACCTGGCTAATGAGGACAGGCATCCACCTCTGGCTAATGACAGGCACACACCTGGCTAATGAGGACAGGCATACACCGTGCACTGTGCTATCAGTGAAATTTTGCCTGGATAGCAGCAACAAAACCTACTCTTTATGTCAAAAGTTCACAATAAAAAAGCAAGTAGACATATATGAATTACTTAAGAAAACATACCTCAGGGTGGAAGAAAATTTCTGGTCCCAAAAATCTTTCGTAGCCAACATCTACTGAATAACTTTGCTTAGTGACAGCATTTTTGCTTTCATATTTTTTTATCCATTTGCCAGGATCCTGGTCATATTTTGTGAATTCTTTATAAATATCAGGACAAACGTAACAAAAATGTTCCTGAAAAAAAAAAAAAAAAAATACATTAACAATAAAATATTTACATCTCTTATTACATGAAAGATGAAAATAAATATTTCTATTGAGGGTTAAACGTCCTACTGGGCTAATAGAAGGCAGGCATACATGAAGTGTGCTGTAAGAATAAATTTTGCACAGACAGCGGCACTATGGCCTACTCTTATATCGAATTACAACTGTCAAGGGTTCTCTTACGTGCATGCCAATGTGTACACGGGACCTTGGTTTTTCGTCTCATCCTAACGTCTAGACAGCTGTCCTTGTCAGTCCCTCTGTCCTACACCACTGACTAGGGGGAACCACGCCGGAAAATTAGGATTCACCTTCTCGACAAATGCAGGTGTTTACCTTAATAGCTTTAGCTGTTTCTAATGATTGTTCTGGTGGAATACCAACTTCTCTTTCTCTCAATAATTGTTGTATAAAATATGTGATATCTCGTCCAGCAATTGGAATGTGTTTAATACAACTTCCGATAACATAACCTTCAGCCTATAAAATATAACATCCCACATTATTGACTTGATAACATAACCTTCAGCCAACAAATTATAACATAGTAGTTAAATATTGAAATTCCAGTTATTTTCCAGAACTTTACTCAGTAATTCAGCTAGAAATGCTAGGAAATAGATAATAAACACTTTATGGTATTCAAATTGATATGACAAAGGCTTTGGAAAGCTCTACCCAATCTTATCCAACATTGAAAAAAAATAGAATAAAATAGACGAATTTCCCACCGACCCTATTTTTTATGCCAAGCAACCATAAACATAAAAAGTATTGTTGTTGCCTAAATATAACAGTCTTTATACTCTGTATAGAGTCTTAAATAAAACAGGCTTTATACAGTCTGAAATATAACAAGTTTTATACCTGTACAGAGCCTGAAATATAACAGGCTTTATACTCTGTACAGAGCCTGAAATATAAAAAGTTTTATACTCTGTACAGAGCCTGAAATATAACAGGTTTTTGTTTTTATAATAAATGAAGTAATTAATACGTACAACTGGTATGACATGAGTTACACCATCACCTGAATCTATCACCGTTCCTGTCAACGTTCTCTCCCCTACTTGTTTCGCTGTCCATGATGCAGCTAACGCTAACACAGCCTTAAAATATAACACAAGTTACCATAGTTACTAATCAGAAATGGAAGTACATACAGCAAGGCCAAGCAACATGACAGTCCTTCGTTTAATCTGGGGTCTTCCCTAAAACTTTGGACAGTGATTTAAGGTATTAAAAACAGTGAAAGTATTGTTCGTCTCAAAACAGTATTGTGTAGATTGTACCCGTGTTCATAAGCTCGTTTGTCACGCAATTAGTTTTTCTTCAATATTCTGCGATGCACTGGTTAAACATACATTATGCAAGAGCTAAATCTGTTTATTGCAGGTCTTTCCTTAGGCCTGAAATGTTATCTCAATTATTAATTAGACATTAATTAACATATCCAGACCATAATCAACTCTAGATGGCATCGCTAGCCTGCGATCTTAAGTGGATTGTGAGCCGATTTACTGCATAACTTTCCTTCTCGATTAAACGATTAAATGGATAATCGAGACTATGCTGTTTATCGTACTGACTTTAGTAATGATGACCGAGGCTAGGCAGAAATTTCATTTGCTTAGTTCTTGGTTAATAGTGGATCAATTTGAATGAAATTTTCAGCAAATTGCCTTTACGTTATCTAGTTTTTAATCATTATAGTGAGAAATGCCAACTTGTTATCGAATCTCCCATAACGTATCTTTAATTGGGCATAATAAAATCGTGAGTCATTACGTAAAGTTATGTGAACATATTTGGTCCAATTTGGAGCTCCGTTTAAAGCGTAATGATATTGTTACGCAGTTAGCTATTGGTTGTTAATCAGGCTATTGACCAGTCATAATTTGGAACAGAAATTTGCTTCCATTACAGCAGTGTTAAGTGGGATTAGCTCTAATCAAAAGAAACACTGCGAGGAGTATAGTCCACCTTAACATCATCACTATATATAAATAAAAACTTGATTTTTTCTTTACTGATCCATGGAAATTATTTTGATATTGTTGGACATAAGAGAATGTGTACAGGTGTGAGAGGACCTACCTGTACAGCTATATATAAACCAGGTACATTAAATGATTCAAACATTATTTCTGCTGTATATTCACGATTCTCTGGTGTATTTAACGGAGGTTCAGTCTGTAATTATAAAACAACAGAATAACATTATACACAAGGTGTCTTGTATAACAACATGACCTGTAACAAAATAAAATGGGCATAAATTTAAAATTTATTTTAGAGTGGTCTCCCTTTTAAATTTTCAAACCACATGTGAACTACAGGCTACAAGATGTTCTCCAGTCACACTCCGGTCTTGTATTGCCAGGTGAGGACCAACTCAGTAACGACCTGTTCAAGGATTCCAGTTCAGATAAGGACATTGATGAGTAACGAATGCTCACCATACTAGTAAAAGCTAGCCCTGAGATCTGATTTGTTCGAAGAACTTTGAAATTTAAAGTTTATGGACAGTTTCTTTTTGTATTTCAGAACATTTATGTGACGGTGTATCACAGTTGTGTTTAAAAAGCCATTTTTGTAAATGAATTTGATTTGGTCCATTTAAAATTATAGAAAGAACCCAAATGTTTGTCGTTTTTTCCTCTTTTCGAATTTAAGCCCTGGGCTTAATTTCAGAAATGTTTCATCACTGACATGGTCCAATTCGAAATTAAGCCCAGGGCTTAAATACGAGAATTCCAGGTACATGTAACAACATGACCTGTAACAAAATAACATTGATACATCAGAAAGTGTATTTCCATCCTCGGCTTCAGATTGGCTAAGCATACGGTTCAATGACATGAAATAACAGTGGGAAGTTACGACTGGTCCCCAGATCCATTCACTTGATTGATAGCAATATCTGTGTATTTTGTCTTGCCTGCAGGTTTATCTAATTGGATTTGTTTTTTTGCATTAGTGCTGTCCCACTGCACTTACTAGTAAAGACACAGTAAATATGATTACCACCAATAATTAGCCGTTTTGAAATAATATTGGGTTTTGTGTCTCATAAATACAATAGTTTGGTCGTTTTGCGACAAACATATACGGTGTGGTTAATTTTTATTGCTTTCAGCTATGTGTGAAACATAGGTAAGGAGAATTTGGCCTAGACAGCAGTGTTATATTGCACCTCTTCTTTGATTTGCAAATTTCAAGGGTTCTTTTATTTGTATGCTAATGCACACTCATTGACCTTCCCATTTCTTTAGAGATTACTAGCAGTATACCAAGATAAGCTATACACTACCAAAAATAATTTGTCAATAAGTTGCCTATTTGAAGGGGAGGGGGGGATGGCCGAATGGTTAGCACATGCGTGCTGTATCAGAAGGTCTGTTATTGCATCAACTGGCGATTCCCCACTTGTACGTGACAATAAGTAGGGTCGTCTGTCCAACCTCGTGGGTTGTGTCTGGGTCCTCTGGTTTCCTCCCACTGCTGAAGACCCCTACACGCAAGCGAATTATTGAAATATAATTAAAACCATATGTTAGTCCCATAGTTTGTATCAAGTGGACGTTAAACCACATTTCATCATCATCTGTCCAGTAAAATCTATAAATGTAACTTTGAGAAGGAAATAAAATGTCCTACATTTCTGCTCCATTCAGGTAATGTGCTATGGACTATACTTATTGGAATTCCAACTATCCTGCTATTTCGTCCTATCGTAAAGACTAGAGGCTGTTCCTTCCAAGGCGGGGGATCACGTGACTAAGTGGGTAAGACGCTGGCTCGCTAGCCTGGAGGTCGGGTGTTCGATTCCTGCATTGGCCGAGAAAGTTCATCCAGATTTTCCGGCGTGGTTCCCCCTTGTCAGTGATGCAGGACAGAGGGCCTGACATGGACAGCTGTCTAGGTGTTCGGATGGGATGAAAAACCGAGGTCCCGTGTACACATTGGCGTGCAGGTAAAAGATCTCTTGACAGTTGGAATTTGATATAAGAGTAGGCCATAGTATTGCTGTCCGGGCAAAATTTCCCTCATAGCACACTGTGTCTGTATGGCGTATGCCCGTCTTCATTAGCCCAGTTCGGAGCAGAACAGTAGGACGTTATACCCCATTTCATTTCATTTTTTCCTTCCAAGGCCTTAGCCAAGCTTTACTCACTGAGCCACTGTGGCTCCAATAATGGAGTCCGTTCATTAACTTACCAGTAAAAAATAATGATCCTCAGGTTCTGATCTCAAATACTTAAATATACATTGTTCATAAAACCTCTCCATTAAATCCCAATCTTCTATAATACCATGACGTATTGGCCACTGAAAATATAAAACATCAGACATTAAATCCCAACCCTCTATAATACCGTGACATAAAAAACAACATGTACGATCGACATGAAACATTGCAGTCTGGTTCCTTGAACAAAGGTGCATCGATTGGCAGGCTTCAATTTTAAATATGACATCACAATTCCAAGATGGTTGTGATGATGCCATGCTTGGTACCTAGTATATAGTACACTCGTCCTTGTTTTATATGATAGAATCATGTCTCACCTTAACAGCGTATGATGTGGCGTTTAAAGCTTCATCTCCGATATAAAAATCTAAATCTTCTACACCCTTTCCTAGTCGCTTAATGGCTTTGTCTCCAACACTAGCTGTTTCTTTTATACCTATAGCAGACGGTATAATAAACTGTGGTTCTGAATTACCTGCATAACCCATCTTTGTATACCTGAAATTATACAGATAATGTACATAATCAGGACAGATTTCATACAGTTTATAAATGGAGGTAGGGTTGGGTAGAAAATTCAGGGTATATTAATTTAGGCCATACTTACATGTATTACATGTATAAAACACCATTTCTCTATCCCCACCCCAATCTTCCCTATACTGTTTTTCAAATATAAGGTGCACATTTTGTGTATAGGGAGTTTCAGATGTGAGTACTTGTATCTCCTCTATCTAGTTTATTAATTTTACAGAATATACATGTACATGTATGTCAGGGCAACACCTAGTCTAAAGTAGAGTTAATATATAAATAGATGCCCGAGGTGTAAAATATAACACTATTCAATAATACAGTAATGTATGAAAGTCAATCAGGAAGTAAAGAAATTAACAGTTTATATATAACTGATTATAACATTCATACATTTATCTTAAACATACAGACTGTCACAACAATCATATCATAACTTGAGGTTATTCAACGCTTGGTGATTATTTTTGTTTACTTAGACAGAAGAAAGTGGTTAAATTGGTTTTATAGAGAATTCACCAGATTGCAGGAAATGAATTGTCAAGTCATCAAAAGTTGATTGTTGGTTTAATTTTAGGGATTTCATTTTTGACATCTTTTATTACGACTATTTTATTTCACCATTAAAATTCATCGCTGTTTTTGGGTTGCTCTTAAGAGGCTAATTTTCTTCATGTGTTTCTGTTTAAATCTGGCAGAATATAAAAATGTGTTTTATTTGGAGTCTGCTTTAATTGAGTTAAAAGGTTTATTTTATAAACAGTTTATATTAAGTGTTAGCATATGGCAATTATATCAAAATCAAATCTACATGTAACTTTACTGCTTTGTAAGTTTTATTTTCTTTTCCAAAGAAATCTTATGTATCTAATTTTGGCAGGGTAGTTAATATATTGTTTAATTATGGGCGTTGAGTACTCTAAAATGCAATTTTAAAGCTACATGTAGCACTGTAAGTTTTGTTCAGAAGATATGACATTTTTTGTTATTTGGGGTGATAAAACTATATATTAATTACCAAATTTGGCCCAAAAGCACGATAATAAAGGGTGCTGATGACCACTCAATACAAACTAGATAATTTGGGACTAACATTTTAATTGATACTATTTTAATTCAATAATTTGCGTATAGCTGAAAGAGCAAACCGGAAGACACTGAGATAGACCAAAAGGTTAGACAGGTAACCATAATGTCACGTACTAGTGTGGGATCAGAATATAAAGTTATTAATGTGTATTTCACTAGTAGATTTGTACATGTGTATTTTGTAATGTTGATTTACAACCCAACCTTAACATAAAACCATTCATCTTAATGTCAATCAATACCAGGAAGTGGACTTAACAAACTTATGAAATAAAGTCTCCTGCACAGTACACTAGGCCTAGAAATAAAAAAAAGTCTCCTGTATAGTACACTAGGCCTATTATATGTATGTATACACTCTAAAACTAAACTTGATTCATTTCCAAAACTACATTGTTTGCCTACAAGAAACCATAACAGTGTCCAACAAAATCAACAATACACATGTCTTTAATCATTAAGGTAAGCTTTTTGTCCATATAAGGACATAAAATGACTGATGACATCTCGGGAAACTTGACCGACAAATCCTGAGGAAGTGTTTTTTTCCAAACATACTAGAACCCCCAGGAATATCTAGTTAGTGAACTAGCTACTCAACACCGGTTTTAATAAATCTAAATATTGATATATTCTGGACAGTATTTACTGTACAGCGGCACTCCGTATTAGGAAATCCATTTTGTAACAAAATGTAATGACAGACACACGCTGTCCACCTGTTTGTAAATAACAACATCTGGGAATAAGATACTTGGATAGTCAATAGTCATTTTCCTTACTTCAATTTAACAACAATGAGGACAGTAAGGTGTTTTTACATGTAGTTATTAATTGGGTAAAATGCAATCTTCACACTGACTTTCATGGATAGAAAATTAGAAATGAGTTATTCTTTTGGAGATGGAGTGACTTCAAGACATAAAATGATAATATATCATGAATTCCCTATAAAGTACCATAATCTGATGGCCATAACATCTTCATTAGGCTTTCTCAAATTTAATTATATTCGTATCTTGGACAATATCTTTTTTGATAACATTACGTTTTATCAATTTTTAGTCTTGTTTCTTAAAAAACTTGGGAGTTTAATTAGTACTATTCCCATCCCCCTGCAACCCCTTTCATCAACAGGTACCCTAGGAAATCGTGACACTGCCCCTTTAAATAGTTAGTGCAGGGACTGCAGCACACACAATAACACAAAACAAATCTACGGACAAGACACAATACACAGAAATCACAAACAAACGAACATATCAGAATAAATGAATGGATCCAGGGCCTTTAGAAGCATAAGCGGCCACTGCGCTGTACCGTCCCGGGCACGTAGCGATACAGACTTCAGTCAAGAGAAAAACATATTGTAATACTAGTATACATGTCAGTCATGATCTGCTATATGTTCTATGTTTAGCTGAACCAACTATATTAATGTTAAAACTCTTCAGCTAAGGAGTAAATTGAAATCTAACTTTCAGTATATTGTACAATGTACAATTATATAGAAGTATTTCCTTCAGGAAATCTCAAGATAGCAGTGAGTCACTCATACCAGCTTAAATTCATTGGATTATTGGTATATTGAACAAGTTATAAGATTCACATTATTTCAAATTCTCCTATACAGAGACAATTTACAAATGATATGATTGCACCATGCTCACACTGCAGGCAACGAAATTTCACGCGGTCGCGCCAGCTCAAAAACACACGACCAATTTCCTGGTTACACAAATTGAAATATCGGCTACGTTAACAAATTACATTAACAGATTTATTCACATTTGATCAATTTTTATACAGGATGACTTTGTGACACAGGTCTAAATTATTTGTATTATAGCACAAACTCCATTCATTCATTCTTGGCATTTCATTTCTCCATCTTACCGGTACTTTGATAGATCACGTATTTTGACACCACGTAGGCTATTGACCAGTTGCAAGCAGGTTGATTTAAAAATGCCCCTCACCCCTAATTCTTTAAATGATTTGTTATGCCATAAATATTTGAAAGCGTACCTTTGGATTTTCAAAACACAAACTGAGAAATGAGTTTGACTATTTAACATGTCGGCTATATTCCCAAAGAATTTACTACACGTCAACGTGTTCCTTTCAGTTTTCACTATAACCATGCTGTAGTACCAATGACCCATATGCATGTCGTCAACTTTATGTAACCAATTGGTTACGCAATGGTCATCTGGCGTAACCAAAGAAAATGGCTACGCAGAGCATAAACCCGCAACCATTTTTCTGGTTACGCCAAAATTTGAAATTTCGTGGCCTGCACTGTAGACAATTTCAATAAGTGATATGACTCAACCATGCCTACATGCCTTCCAAATCAGAGTATAAAAATTATCAAAATAGCTTGATGGCGACCATGTATGTGACCTACATTTGTATTCTTACGAAGCAAAATGATAACAGATTAAAATATGCCTGATAGCGATTGACATTGGTACAGAGCTATTTAATAGTCCAGGTAAACAAAACATAATAATATTACCCGCCAACGACGAGCACTGTATGTTTTGCAATTTCTGACAATGTTTGTGGAAATATAAAATATGCAGCTGGGGTGATCGATTACTGAGGATGAGGAGAGCAATAAAATATGCACATAGATTGGGATTTAGGTGAGCGATGAAGTGTGAGAGCGACAGCGTACCCCAAACATGAAGGCCTGCAGTTATCAATGCATTCTGTACACATACAATGGATAAGCAGATGAAGGTAATTTTTGCACTACCACCTTCAACAAATCATAATGTTCAACATCTCTGTATGACCTTTAACATGGTACAGACAATTCATAATATATTTTGTAAAGATCAATCTGTTGTATGGTAGTCATTGTGTAAATTTGGGCCGGGATGTTGGAAAACTAACTCATCTTACACTGAAGAACTCCAATAATTGAACATGTCCAAAAATGATGTGGGAGGTTCCCGATTGATACAGCTATGCTCAATAAAATACCACCTAAGGGTAACTACGATGTATTGCTGAACACTGACTTCTAACATATTATTTGATTGGCCTAACCCTTGTAAAGTAATGGAATGGGTTTAATGTTGACCTTTTCTGCACCTACCCGTCAAATTAACTCTGCTAATTACGAAGTACTGGTGTTGACAATGCATGTAGGCCTACTAAACTTATGATGTCTGTCGCTAGTTGACCGACATTTTCATTCCTGAATTGACAAATTTAGTTGAAAGCACTTATTAGTGTACATGCTTCAAGAATTTATTTATTCCACTTCCTTGTAAAAAACAACAGTTTATCTAGTCTGTGTGTATGACATATGAAACAAGATTAGAACCAAATTACAAAATAGTGTAATAAACTTTGGTTATGGTGGCCATTCTGGGCAGAGATCTATTCTTGGGAAGTGAAATGAAATGGGGTTTAACGTCCTACTGTTCTGCTCCTATATTGGGCTAATGAAGACGGGCATATGCCATACAGAGTGCTATGATGGAAATTTTGCCCGGGCAGCGGCACTATCGCCTACTCTTATATCGAATTCCAACTGCCAAGGGATCTTTTACGTGCATTCTAATGTATACACGGGGCCACGGTTTTTCATCTCGTCCGAAGGACTACACAGCTGTCCTTGTCAGGCCCTCTGTTCTGCACAACTGACAAGGGGAAACCACATCGGAAAATCCAGATGAACTTTCTCGGCCAATGCAGGGTTCGAACACCCGACCTCCAGGCTAGCGAGCCAGCGTCTTAACCACCGTGGCTGGACTGTGGAAAATATACACGAGGCGACCCCCCCCCCCAGAGAAACTCAATTGCGCAGGACTATGGTAAAGATAGGATTGATGGAGTATATCACACAGAATTAACCACTTTTATTCACTGGCAGTAAGATAGCTTGTTCAACTTAACTTTATGAAGCTGTTGCATGATGAGTACAATCTGTGGTCAGGTCCTGATGATGCCAGTTGCCACTGATCTACTTTATTAGTTTGATTGAAATACAATATTAATACTCTAATAGGCCTACGAGACGAGTCACACGATATCATTTTTATCTTTTTTTTTTATAAAAAAAGACTGTGTAAATAATATATCAGGCAATGTGATAGGAAGTAGCCTTTACACAAAATCAATTAATGCATTACAAGGTATTAATAACTGATGATATTCGGCAGATTTTAGGTACACACCCCTCTCTTGCCGAAATACCGTTACACATCACTGCGCGATTTTCATAACAATTGCACCTCAAAAACTTACCCGGTACCTGTGTCAATAACACAGGCTGGTAGGCGATTCGCCATGTTTGATTCTTTGGCTGTCGTCTGGTACTAAAAATGCTTTGATGGTGGAACTCTGTCAAACTTAACTTTATTCAATTAATCATACCGGTCAGTCACGTCCCGGAAAGAAAATGGCCGATATGGGAAGTAATCACAGTCTCGCAGGTACGGACAAATCTTACAGAGAGTTATCGACCCAAACTACAAAAAATAAATGATGAATCGGTATTCATCAGTGTGCTTTCAATATAAATACCAATCTTCATGCATTCAAAACCATATTCTAAAACTATCAACAGGAATATTCATAAAGCAATTAAAGTGTGTTTGTATCAGTGTGACTTGGGTAAAATATGAGTCAGTGCTTGAAGGGAGATAACTCCAGAACACGACGAGTTACTCCCCATTAAATCCCCACAATGAAAGTGTTTTGACTTATGTAGCGTCTTCGAAAGGCCAATTTTCAGATTTCTCTATGTATTTTTGTAACCCAAAGATTTAAATATTGGTTCTTCGAAAATATAATAATGTCATTTCAGTCAAATCTCGAATTGACTTTAAAACGCCTTTCATGTTGGCTGCAATTGGCAGTTTCTGGGACCTGCCCACCCGACCAATCAAAACTTAGTGTATTTTAAAAATTTTCAATCGGCTATAGGCGTACGGGACTAAATGGTTTTGGGGAAAGGGCACCGGTTCGGATTGCCGGATTTCTTCTGTGTTAACCCGTACATAACCGATTTAGCCGTATATACCAAAAGGTATATGAAGGGTATGAATATTAGAGAGATGGATAGTAGGCCTACTTTATAGCCTATAACTGGAATATCCCTGAAGATTCTTGTTCATTGTTGATATTCAATTGCTGTTCTGTGGAACCTATAGAAAAACATTGATAGCCCGAATTTGTATGACCGACTGGCTCGAATTTTCGTTTGCCCGAATATTTAGGGGAGCACCGTGCTCTATATTTTTAATATTTTAAATATATCTATAGGCCTAGGGCCTACATGTCGACACAAAGTGTAAAATATCAGGCACTAGTTCAAAAAACAACTCATATCATGATATCCAGGAAAGATATCTGATATCTAATCAAGATCGAAAACCCACATATTTCCGATTAGAACCTCTGTCGGCCTTCATTTGCCCGAGCTCTGCTATTTTTATTTAATCCACGAAGTTTATCTTTAAAAAGTGAAAGCGTTTCTTCATTTCAATTGAAAATTAATTTCCTTTATTTCCCATCACTGGGCATCAGTAATTTCAACAACAACAATAAAAAAGAATTAAATAAATAAAACTCTTTATTGCATGTTTTATTATATATTCCATACACAACATATTTTATTCTTAAACTAAAAATCTTTTACGTGCACGCCAATGTTCACACGGGACCTCGATTTTCCGTTCCACCCAAACGACTATACGTTGTCCCTTGCAAGGCTCTCAGTCCTGCACCACTGGTTAGCAGGAGCCACGCCGGAAAATCCCGATGAACTTTCTCGGCCAACACAGGGAGAGAGAGAGAGAAATGGGGTTTAACGTCCACTCGACACAAACCATTCAGCCACCCCCCCCCCCCAACACAGGGATCGAACACGGGACCTATAGATTATAAGCCAGCCAATGTCTCACCCACTGAGCCATCGTGGCGCCCAAAAATGGTACACCAACATCTTGGCCATTTTGAAGAATATAGTAAGATACCAATTTTAACTACGTCTAGAATAATCATAGGCGTAGGAGCCTAAAAATTTATTTTCGGGCAATGAAAAATTCGACGACCTTTTTTTTCTATAAACGTTTAGAGAAAAAATATAACTAACTTATTTCTATGAGATCCACACTGCCCGAAAAGTATTTTCTCGTCTTTTTCTTGTCCACTGCATGCCCGAAAATATGCCCGAAGCTCTCTTATGATAGGTATGCCCGAAAAAACGGTATTGATTTCGGGCAATTTTCTCTAATGCCCCCCTGAATTACTTTGAGCTCCTACGCCTATGAGAATAATCATGCAGTTTCTAACGAGCTCCGTCGTGAACGGTTGCGGTCATGAACGGTTGATTCCGATGAAAAACTAAATGTCCACAAGAAGATAAGAGAAGGCGAGCGGCGATCAGATAGAACAGAAGCAGTGTGGATGGTGTAGTAAATATATGTGTTACATGCTTTCCGGGAGTCACGATGATTCGGTGGGTGCTTGCTAGGTCGTGGGTTCGTTCCCAGTGCTGACCAAAAAAGGCATATCATCGCTCTTTTCCCAAATGCAGAGACCAATTTTGGCAACTTGGTCAAATGTGCCCAAAACCGGCCCTGTGCAGGTCGGGTGGTACGTCTATGAAAACCGTTGCTCGGATTGTTCAGACTCGAGGTACAGTGACTGATCACACGGTTGGATATCGAAATAGTAGTATAGGTCGTAATGTCGCAACCAGGGCAATATTATACCCTTAAATCCCATTTCATTTCTATGCCTTCCAAATGAGGTTTTATTAAGTACAATAAATTTGTAAATACGAGATAAAAGGTTATAGTGGAATTATACCTTCTCCCCTGTCACGGTTTCTTAAATCCAACTCGCTTTGATTAGCTTTATATGGCAGATGCCTAGCACGAATATCTATTATTTCAAGAACATCTTACATCAGTTAATAATATGTTTTTTAATATGTGCGAATTTCCTGAATGGGAATCAATAAACTTACTATATTCGTATAAAACATCGTCGTCGGTAACGTTTCCACACGTTGGCACGCGCATAGTTTAGTCTGAAACCGGTTGTTTATTATTTTTATTAACATCTGTATTTTGTTTTTATTTACTTATCAGTAGGGAGGTTGGATGGTCGAATGGTTAGCACGTGCGCGCTGTATCGTAAGGCCTGTTATTGAGTCAACTGGCGTGGTTTCGGATACCCGGTTGTACGTGACAAGGAGTAGGGTCGCCTGTCTAACCTCGTGGGTTTTCTCCAGGTCCTCCGGGTTCCTCCGACTGCTAAAGACCCCTACGCGCAAGCGAATTATTGAAATAAAATTAAACCATGTGTTAGTCCCGAAATGACCTAGTTTGTGTCGAGTGGACGTTAAACCCCATCTCTCTCTCTCTCTCTTACTTATCAGTATTATTACACCCAAGAGTGTTTTGAAAAATAGATGTCATTTGGTGGATTCTGGCGTATATCTTGGGGAAAAAAATCATGTTTGCTGTCTTGATAAAGTCACTATGGACAGTGATAATGAACCATAGAAAGTCGACCTATTCTTTGTCATCACTTGAAAGACAATCACATAAAAATGAAAGAGAACAAATTTGAATGGGCAAGACAAATATCTTCATGGGCCTGCTTATAAGTGGTAGGCTTGCAGTACGAGATCAAAATTGACCGATTTTGTCAAACATTGGCGTTGAAAAACTTTGATGTTGAAAGCGAAAGTAATTAGCAGATGATAGGATACCGGGGGCCTGTTTCACGAAATTTTAACTAAGATAAAATCCAAATTTTAGTAATTTGATTGGATAATATTAGATTGATTTTAGTGCTTAGACAATCAAAATTGAAGTATCTACTAAAATATGGATTTTATCTTTAGTTAAAGATACATTATGGGAGATTCGATAACAAGTTGGCAGTTCTCACTATAATAGTTAAAAACTAGATAATGTAAAGGCAATTTGCTGAAAATTTCATTCAAATTGATCCACTATAAACCGAGAACTTAGCGATTGAAATTTCCGCCTAGCCCCGGTCATCATTACTAAAGTCAGTACTACGATAAACAGCATAGTCTCGATTATTCATTTAATCGTTAAATCCTCAAGGAAAGTTATGCAGTAAATCGGCTCATAATCCACTAAAGATCGCAGGCTAGCGATGCCATCTAGAGTTGATTATGGTCTGGATAGGTTAATTAATGTCTAATTAATAATTTAGATAACATTTCAGGCCTAAAGAAAGACCTTAAATAGACAGATTTAGCTTTTGCATAATGTATGTTTAATAAGATTAATACAATGACGTCATTATTAGTATGACGTCATAATGTATGTTTAAGATTTCGAGAAACCGGACCCAGTCCAACATTCCGCTGAACACCCGCCCATTCATCGGGACCGCACAAGTTTGATGAAGTCCGTTCTAGACCCGCTAAGATAAAAAAAAAGATCTGACCACTCAAGAATGGAGAGAAGCATGGTGAATCATTATTATACTATTACAAATTATAAATAACACAAACATATCGGGCGTTCCATGTTGTTGGAGAAAAAATAGATAGGCCGGGCCTACTCTCCAAAACACCCATGATAACACCTATAAATATTCGTCTTCATTACCCCTGCAGTCGGTGCAGAAAAGTAGGACGCTAGACCCCATGTCATTTCACCTATATATCTATTACGTGGGGTACTATTTTAATGGCGAACAGTAAGGTTTTAAGTCACCTTATGAGTAAAGACTTTTAGACCATCAAAAATACTTTTTTAAAAAAAGATTTTGACACAAAAATTATTCAAATTCGAACTTAAGTTATAGTCATTTGAACTTTACTTTCTTTTGATAGGGTACCACCTTCTTTAAGCGTCTTGGATAAATAAGGTAATGATAACTCTTCTGCCATCTGTTTCGTACATAATCGATTAGGGAAATATTGGAAAATATGAGGAAATGACCCGGGTTTAACGTTCCAGGACAACAATGCTTTGGTCATTTTGAGACAAAATGAAATGAAATGAAACGGGATTTAACGTCCAACTGCTCTGCTCCTAAACTGGGCTAATGAAGACGGGCATACGCCATACAGTGTGCTATGAGGGAAATTTTGCCCGGGCAGCGGTGATACGGCCTGCTCTTATATCGAATTCCAACTGCCAAGGGATCTTTTACGTGCATGTCAATTTGTACACAGGACTTCGGTTTTTCGGATATTGGATGGGACGAAACCCCGAGTTCCCGTGTACAATTAAAAAAAAAAAAAAAAAAATGGAAAAGATAAGTCAAGAATGTAAATTTAATTTCGTCATTTCCTTTTTTTCCGTTGATTTTATTCATTTTGAAACCGTTTAAAAAAATTAAAAAACTAGTCATAAAAATCGAATTAAGGAAATTCAAAAATTAGACCGATTAACTGAACTTAACAGCTCTCAAACCAACCACATTATTTCCACTTTAATTTTTGTTGTTGTTTTTATTGTTGTTGAATGTTTTCTAAATTCAATAGGGTTATGTAAAAACACGTAGTTTCTTTATGACATCAAGGAAAGCCTTTGAATATTGCCAACGCCCCTAAGTATTCAAAGCATCAAATGGCCTCGCCCATTAAATGAACTATTCCCTGGTCAAATGACGTATATTTACGCCCGTCTTCATGCGCCGGCCTACCTCGATAAACGGTTTGATGTTTTGATTATCCAGTACGTTTGTAAATTTGATCGCCAAGAGGATGTCGTGACATTCAAGACTATGATACGGTTGAGAGCTTGTGGTTATATTTAGATTTCCGACCCCTCCCTTATGTTTTAAGAACACCTCACAATGAACGCGTCGATATACAGTTAAAAAGAAGAGTGTTATACCTTGGCCTACACGACCAATGCATACAAATTTATAAACCTTTCACGCAAGCGATCTGAATGTAAAAAAATAAGGCTGACCTTTTTAAGGTCAGTTTAGACATGAGTGTTAAGAGAAATTCTTGTCTTCTAGTTGAAGAGTAGTTCTCGTTGCAGGATTAAAAAGTAACGGTTTCAGGTGCACTTGGAACCACATATCAATATTGCAAATTTCTTTTTCAATAATAATTATTGTAGTTATGTTTCAAGCAAATATCGATTTAAAATCGAGATAATTAAGCTTGGTCAAAGTCGCTAATTCATCCAAGCGTAGATTTAATACTTATAAATTACAGTTGAGCGCGCGTGCCTTCTTTCTCAAAGTGCACAGCTGAGGTTTAGCTGTCAATCAAGCGTGTTCACTGCTGAACGGAAGACTGCGAATCAAATACAAATGCGCTGAAAATATAGTCCACGGTTTACTTTAAGGACATTTTCTTTTACCAACCCGAAGGAGACGTAAATGCTAATGTTCATGCCCATATTACGATAATATAAATCACCACTATACGAAGTAGGCGAAATATGTTTCCATTGTAAAAACAATATGGTTACGCCCCCGCGCGCACTATTTGGCGGATTTAGAGAGGAGTAGACGTTTCATTGTGTTTTCACGTCCCACTTTCATGTTCAATTCGACATCCCGTTATGTGTTGATTATTGTTCAAAATTAAATTTTAATGTTTATGAAATTATAATGACGACTCGTCAGAAAAACGGTCGAGACTATGTCGTACCAGCAAGTTCGTCACAGGTAAGTTTTCGGACTCATTTTCTGTCTATTTTGTTTCCGTCTCGCTACGATCGATTCAGCGGCCATATTTACTAACACCCTCTTTTTTGACTCCGCCTTTCAGGACGTGCAGCCATCCCCCCTCGCACTTTTGGCAGCTACCTGCAGCAAGATTGGAGCCCCTCCCGACGACGCCTTCAGCCAGAATGGTGGAACGCCTGTGCGGGTTGTAGGGGCGGGACAATCAGGAGCTGGTGGGGAGATCGTAACCCCCTCTTGGGTTCAGCTTCCCCAGCAAGGCGCCATCATTGATGCCACTGGCAATTCTGGGAAAACGTCCGGTACAGTCATCTCCGGTCAACAAGGACAACAGTTTCTACAACAGAATCAGATCGTGGCTTCAGCTGGACCCAATGGTAACATAACGTACAATGTTATACCGGCACCCCAGTACCAGACTATTACTATTGATGGACAGGAAGCCATAGTAATTCCTGCTGGAAACAACACCACAGCCGGTCAGCCATTTATCCAAGCTGCCGGAAATGTTGGTCAAGGCATGTCTATGATCACACCTTCTGGACAGATCATCCGAACTGGAGGAATGCCAGGAACCAATGTCATCCAAAACATGGGTGGCTACCTTGGTGGAAATGTTATGAACCTTGGTGGAACTATGGTTAATCTTGGTGGCATGCAGACAGTGAGAACTGCTGGAGGTGGTTTGATGCAGGTACAGCTTCCAATGAATCAAGTCCAACAGCAGATGCCAACCATGATTCAGATTCCAGTGTCACTTGGAAATGGCCAGACAGCAATGCAGACCATCCAGTTGCCCATCCAAACTTTTCAACAAACAATCCAGCCTCAGCAGATTCAAGGGTCTACAAACATGACCAGTATGGGCAACAACAGCATGACAACGGTCGCTGGAGCAACATCTGGTACTACGCCAACACAAACCATGACAGTACCACTTACACAGGGTATGGCAACCCAGTACAATCCCAACACAGTCCTCAATACAGCCATCCAACCTGCCCAACAGACACAACAAACACAACAGTCTGAAATTGTGGATGTGAAACCGGAACCAACTAAATGTTCTACACCACAACTCCAGATTAGTGCTGCAAATAGTTCGCCATCTGTAACACCAACGATGAATCAAACTAATAATAACAACAACAATAATAATCAAAATCAAGTTTTTTTCCCAAATGCACAAGGAAACAACAACTTTGCCACGTTACAGAATATCACACTGCCTAATGGTGGTACTCTACCTGCACTGGTGCCAGTTTCCATGTTTAATTCTGGTAACAATCAAGTTTTTCTTCCAACGTCCCAGTTCTCGACGTCCAGTAGTCAGAATACAATAACTGTGCCATCATATCCACAGACTGTAACAACAAGCACAGCATCATCTTCATCTCCGCAAGTATCAGCATCAGCTGTTCAGTCAACTCAAAGTAACCAGGCTGGATCCAATGTCCTTACAAATATTGTTACTCCACAACAGTTAATGCAGGCAGGATTCAGTGCTCAAAATATTGCCAACTTACAACTGGGAGTGGCTGGACAAGGACAAATGATTTCTCCCAACTGGCTTCAAGCCACTCCATTGAACATTCCTAATTTACGACAACAGAATCTTCAGACAATACAAGTTTCAAATTTACAAGGTGTGCAAAACTTACAAGGGTTTCAGCCTGTTCAAAACATTCAGAATTTACAGACAATTCAGGCAGTGTCATCACAAGGACAGAATATAATTAATGCTACGATTCCAAACTCTGGAAATAGTGGAACTTTATCTCTTGGTGGTATTAATACCAGTGGAGGAATACAACAGCAGATACTTCCACAACAAGTCCAGAACATCCAGACAATAGGTGGACAACAGATTGCTACCAGTACTCCCCAGATCATTAATGGTAAGCTCTTCAACTTTATGTTCCCTTGTGATTGATTTCATGTACTTCCATTTCGTGCCCTCACAGCGTCTAAGTCTTTCAGATGGCTCGAAAAACTAAGGTCATGTGTACACATTGGCATGCATAGAAGAACCCTTAATCTTAACAGTTGGAATTGTGAGCAGATCGTGATAAATTAGGTTTTTGCCCTCTTTCGTCTAATTATATGGAGAGAAGTCATCCATGTACATGTACATTAATTCTAGGGACCGGGATGATATTATTGGCCCAGACGTTGAGATTACTTTGAGCCATTTGAAACAATACACTGTACATGTATATGTGTTCCCAGATTTTTTTGGATTTGAAGAAAAGTTTTTGAGAAATAAGCAAAATGTATATTTTTCAGTAAGTGGTGGAGCGTTACAGACTTTACAACAAGATCCAAATGATCCCAACAAATGGCAGGTTGTCACAACACAGTCGACTGCCTCTACTCCCAGTGCTCTCAGTCCCACCCAGACGACGGGTGAGCCTGTTACACCAGGTAGACGTCTACGCCGTGTAGCTTGTACCTGTCCTAACTGTGTAAATGACACTAGGTAAGTGTAAGAATATTCCTGTAATTGAGAGCTGCAATGATTTTACAATGTACATGTATTTACCTTTGATTCCAAATGCACTGGTTTCCTAATGCCCCGTAGTCTGATGATTGAATGTAAGTTTCTATTGTGGGCACTGCAATGTTGCTTCCTTGATTCTTGAATATTCCATCCTGTGGTAGAGTTGTACCAGTCAGCTCAATTAGCTCATATTGTGCGAGTGGGAACTGTGTCAAGGTAGATGACAAACTGGGCAACTGCTCTGGTACAAACGATTGGATGTAATAGTGTTATGCTTAAATATCTGTAGTTAATAGTAACATCTGTAGTTAATACAGACATCTGTAGGTAATCCAGACATCTGTAGTTAATAGTGATTAGTGACATCTGTAGTTAATAGTGATATCTGTAGTTAATAGTGACATCTATGATTAAGAGTGACATCTGTAGTTAATAGTGACATCTGTAGTTAATAGTGACATCTGTAGTTAATAGCACTGACTTCTATGATTAAAAGTGATATCTATATTTAGTAGTGCTATTTATATTTTTCAGAGGTTCGAGCAGTCAAACGGGAGAGTATAAAAGAAAACAACATATATGTCATATAACTGGTTGTGGCAAGGTTTATGGTAAAACATCACATTTGCGTGCTCATCTTCGGTAAGAACTTGGAAGACATTTCTCAACCATTGATAATATCTCTACAGTTTATATTTTATACACCAGACATTGACATGTAACATATCTATCACCAGTCATTGACATGTAACATGTCTATATAGTTTATATACTAGACATTGACATGTAACATATTTGTTAGTGTTGAAAATCGGATCGAGATTTGTGATCCGAATACTTTTGTTTGCTCTCCGAATTCTATTCGGATAATTCGGAAACGTGAAATTCTTGAACAAAATAACATCAAAAGTTCATATACTCATAATTTCTTACTTATTTCAATGTTTATGAGTATCTGTGTATGCCGAGTATGAAATCTTACTTTCGATTTGCAAATTGTTTGAGCCGCGAAGAAAAAATCGTGCCTACCTTTAGCTGCAATTATTAAGACTATCCATGATATTCATAAAAAATCAATGAGGTGAATAAATTTGTGTATAACTACTCCTGTAATCCGCAGCCCTCCCACTTATCATTTTTGCTCAATCAACACGAATGAAAAAAGTAAAATAAGAACATCTGACATTTATTTCGCCAAAGTCGTTTGCCTCATTCTGATAGTCTACTGCTATTGAACCAATCAGTAAGTGAGAATATACGTGACCTAGGTCGTTAAGAATAAATTTCATTGCGGGAAGTCTAAACACAGTGTAAACTTGTATCCTGTAAACCTAAGAAGTAGCTTCTATCTAGCGTAAACCAGCGCAGGGAATAAATGAATATTTTTTTTATTTAGACTACTGTTTTCGTTGCACTGCATTAATATTTTTATCAGTTACTTTCGCTAAATAATACGCATGATATTAATCATTTATGCTCAAAGCTGCGTATGTGATCAATAGCATTGGGGAAAATTTCAAAGTAATCAGATGTAAAAATGGCTAAATATAGAGCATACGGAATGTTAGAAGACTGTAACGGATAGTTAAATGATTCGGATAACCCTTATTTTGTATCCGTTAACGGATATCCGAATAGTAGTTTCAACACTAATATCTGTACAGTTTATACACCAGACATGTAACATATACTAGACATTGACTTGTAACATGTCTATACAGTTTATATACTAGACATTGACTTGTAACATATGGTGGAGAGTGGATGGTTACACTCTTACATTTTATGTTACGGCAAGTTATGTGATCACAACATTTCATTATCGTTAATTGCGCCTGTGCACTCATGACTTGTCCCTGTACGTCTGTACAAGATTGACTCATCTGTGTCATGTTTTACATACTAAAGGCGATTACGTAGTAAGTTCCCAAAATTAGATTAGATTTATAATTAATACCAAGCTCTATACCAGTTTGAAATACAAAATGTGAAATGTCAAATTGTTAAAAATGCAAGTGATACCAGTATTTGTATCTGTAAATGGTCTCTGATTTCTTGCACCTTCTATAGATCTGTGATATCCCACACCAGTATATCTCTAAATGACCTGTGACCTGTGAATATAATTAGCCTTGTATTTATTTGTAGATGGCATACAGGTGAAAGACCGTTTGTTTGTAATTGGTTGTTTTGTGGTAAACGATTTACAAGATCTGATGAACTACAGAGACATAAACGTACACACACAGGTCAGTTACAACAGTATTTATATCATCCGCTCAACGAGTCCTTCCATCCCAGTTTTGTTTCCAGAAAATATCCCAGAAACTGTTGGCACAACTTCAGAGTCTACTCACTACAAATCACAATTAGCTCCTCAAAAAACCAGTAAAGGTTATCGTTAAGAAAAAAAATTGAGCTAAGAAATGGCGTAAATTCCACCTGAAAATAGAATCGACAAGCTAATCACACTGTGAGGAGTAAATAGAAATATCAGTGGTAGAATTTGTAGTTTTTAAGATTTGTGTCAGAATTTGAAATTGTTATCAATGTGTATCGATACGTTTCAACAATATTTTGTCTTAATGTTGAAAAAATGTGTTCTTCTGTTAATGTTTTTGCTTCGCCGTCTCTCTCTGTCCGCTTCGCCGTCTCTCTCTGTCCGCTTCGCCGTCTCTCTCTGTCCGCTTCGCCGTCTCTCTCTGTCCGCTTCGCCGTCTCTCTCTGTCCGCTTCGCCGTCTCTCTCTGTCCATTTGTTGAACGATTTTTTGAGAGATCCTCCCACAGTACATGGAAAGAAAACTAAATAAAAATTGTTAATTCTCTTTGAATTTAATTCAAGTAGATATTTGATATAAAACAGAGTGTAATTTGAGCCTATTTTGGACCTAAATCTTGATGTCAGTGTATCGTAACATATATAGTATACCTGGTAACAGTTACTGGATCATCAATATGTATTAGCACAACCTTATTGTCAGTGGTGTAGGACAGAGAGCCTGGGAGAGCCATACAAGGAAATCCATCCAGTTGTTTATATATTATTAACCACATGTTACACTGTACAGATCCCATGACAGTTGGAAATAAAAATAACAGAAGGTTGTAGTGACGCTGTAAGGGCAAAATTTCTTTCATACATGTAGCATATATTTTACCTGTTTTGACTTCATTGCATACATCTACATGTATGTATGAGGCTGCTCGATTGTCTGTCCAGAACATCCCGTTTTGACAGAATTGCAATCGAGTGACACAGAATTCAGTCCTGTCACAGTTCTGTCAGTCCCAACAATGGAGGTGGTGAGTAGAATCGTGACGTATTTAAACACAATGAGTATGTTTCGGCTGTCATGATTGGTTGAGATATTTTCTTATTCAGTCGACGCATGCATTGTAGCCCAAAATACTCCTTTTCACTTGATTGTCACTATTTTTGGGATTGAGAGAATTCAATTCCGGAACGTTCAATTGAGTACCCCCTATAATAGCCATAAAGGGAGATTACTCTAAATTAGTGAGGAAGAGAAGACATGAAACCATCTCTTTATCAAAGACTGATTACTAAATGAGTGTTAGTTTGTATATTTGATTATTTCAGGAGAGAAAAGATTTGAATGCAGTGAGTGTAGTAAGAAGTTTATGAGAAGTGATCATCTTTCTAAACATATTAAAACACATCAAAATAAACGGGTTTCACAACCAGAATCGGAGAGTAAGTATTCTAGCACAGATGGAACAGCTTCTTGGATTGGTTAAAACTATAATCAAAGCTTATTCATTATTTTAGTGTGTATGTTACACATTAGTATGTATATATATGGTGCTTTCATGTCAAAAACAAGGGTTGGGGTTAGGTGGGTCAACTGGTCTCAGGGTTTGTATGCGACAATGAACAGGTTTGCCTGCCTAACCTCATGGGGTTTTCCGGGTCCTTCAGTTTTCTCCCACTGCTGAAATAACAAGTACAAGTGTACTATTTGAACCACCAACTCACCATAAGGTCATCGCAGCCATCTTGGAATTATGAGGTCATATAAAAAATCGCAGCCTGTCAATCTGTGAGCAATTGTCCAAAGAACAAAAATGTAACTTTTCATGTTGACAGTATTCATATTGACAGAGCCTTATGCCTCTTTTTGAATAGCGATGTCCCACAAATAAGAAGGTTACATTGAGTTTATGGCACATGTATCAGATGTTAGTCCTAAAATGACCTGATTATTGTTCTTTGGACATTAAACTCTTCTCCCACTTGCTCATTATCAAGAATTACCAGCACAATCAACTTCACTGGCAGTGAAAATTCATTCGGCAACATGGGCCCTTTTAATTTAAACTAATATTAAGAATGCAACCTGTTCAGAGGGTTGGATGGCCGAATTATTGAAATAAAATTAAAAAAACATATGTTAGTCCCGAAATGACCTAGTTTGTGTCTCTCTCTCGTGCGCAAGAGGTAAAATATTTGCTCTGATTCTAGGACTAAGAGCCAATAAACCGTCAGTATTCTTAAAATAGTTTACTTTAAGTTTTTTATAAATAGGGGAATAGGGCCGCAACAGGTGACGTGAGGAAATTCTGTGTCTTTATTTAAATGTTGATTTTATTTTACAGCTATAGCAGATGGTGAAGAGGGTGAAGACAATGATGGTGACGGCGATGGTGATGATGCTATGGTGATGGTCACACTGGCTGATAGCGAAAATGCAGAAGCATCCGAGTTACATGGAACACCGGTCAAAATATCACTAGAAGCCATGACACAGCAATTACAAGAACCGACTTAGTGTTAGTTGTCAATCTGTGTCTGACAGCATGCTATTAGATAAAAATGTGTCTTCACATATTGACTGTCATGTCTTGACGAACATCGAAATATTGACGTAACAAGATATTGACAGATCCGTATTTTGATCTGAACTGTAGGATTACTGTCTTACATTCAGATGTTTTATTCCCAGGATTAGTTGTATGTTACATATTGTGACAAATCCTTGCTTTGCATTCTTTTTCTAGAATTTGGATCATGATTTGTTCTACAAAACATCTAACACACGTCAATTGTTGATATCTGGAGTTTTTTGAGATTCGGATGTTGTGTCTCTCGAAATATTTGAGACTTGGATATTCATACACAAGTTATTTGAGACTCAGATGTTCAAACGCAAGTTATTTGAGACCCAGATGTTCAAACGCGAGTTACTTGAGACTCAGATGTACAAATGCGAGTTATTTGAAACTCAGATGTTGTGTCTTGAAATATTTTAGACTCTGATGTTCAAACGTGAGTTATTTGAGACTAGGATGTTGTGTCTTGAAATATTTTAAACTTGGATGTTGTGTCTTAAAGAAATATTTTAGACTCAGATGTTGTAACGCAAGTTATTTGAGACTTGGATGTTCAAATACGAGTTATTTTAGACCCAGATGTTTAGTGGTCAAGTTTTTTGTGGACAGTTTGCTCCAGTTACAGGAACTACCAGCTTATTCAATCCCTGCAAAACTGATCCGAGAATATGAAAGATACTTTTCAAGTGTGTAATTAAAGCTGATGATCGTCATCTGCCATTCAGTATGCACAAAGGTGTGATTAATGGTTAATACATTCAGTAACCTCTGCAGATGATCTAAACAATCCACGGGGTACAAATTATTTTAATGAGCCTCTTTTTCATCCAATTGCATCAAAGCCGACGCCCGACAGATTATCTACTATTGATGTTTTGGTTTTGTTTTAATCAGATATTGTCTGATGTGTGTATATCATGTATGCGTACAGGGTAGATAAAGGGAGATAATTATTCATGGTTTGACATGTCCATGAAGTAAAATATTAATTATTATATGTTATTCCATTCCATTTGTTACTACATGTAGATGTTGTAAGATGTTCTGTGATTTAGAATTCAGTTAGTGCTTTTCTGAAACAATTAATAAACCCCTATTCGTGTTGGCCTTAGTAAAACATATTGTGGCATGGATATTCATGTATGACATCTCTTCACCAAAGTTGGTCATTCTCAATTGTTGTTGTAACAGGAAGGAGGTCTTACTTGAAGGGTTGTACTTGGGTCTTCTGGTAAGCAGTAGGTGGGTGCGGGGGGTCGTACATGGTTGGCTAGCCCGAAAACCAGAACTGATTAATTACAATAGATACAAACTCTTTAATTCAAGTAAAATTAATAATCATCACCCCCTATGGTGATGATAACCATGAGTTAGAACTCTCCCTGGTTACCAGGGTAATCATGAGTTATAACTCTTGTAACCAGGGTAACTGACTTCCTGGTGTAGTAACCAGTACATATTTACCGTATTACAATCATGAGACTCTTCTTCCTAGATTAAACACAAAATTCTGTCTTGAAAGGTTTTAGTAAGGTACCGTACCTTTTGTTACAGTGTACATGTTAAAGTAGACAATAATTTCAAAATGCAATTGGAATATAACTTATAAATGAAATATTCTTAAATTAATGAAATAATATTTTTCTTAAGCTTTTGTTAGATTACCCATGCCACAGGTAGCCTGCCTGCGTCCGGGCCCCCAAGAGTTTGGGGTTCCTTAGAAAGTTTGAATAAAGAATAACAACAACAAAAATTATATGAACGTCTGAGTAAAGAAGACAACGTTTATTGATTTAACTAATATAATTTAAAATATGACGCAGGGGTCACTGAACAATTTGGCATTGTTGAACATGTGACTTTACTCTGGAATTGAACGTTTCGGATATCATTGATTCCTTTAATGCAGTAAAGGCATATACATGTATCAACAATTTGATTGAAGTTTACTGAACAACAATTTGACATACATTGCTAACCGTTCAGTGATTTAAAGTTGTATCCTTCTATTTACTACATTTGTCTTCAGATAAATACCCTGGTAATAATTCAATTTCAATATAAACTTAATTTGGCAGGGCACCTTATAATCTGGCACTGTCTAGGAAGGAGCAAAAGATATGTATGATTTAATTAATTTGTGTGTATGAATTGTCTCAGCCAGCCATGTTTTTTTTTTTTATATAGATTTTCACAAATTTCATATTCAGTGTGAATTGAGTATACATGTTCATATCTGTAATAGTTAAATTCTTGTTGTGTTATTTACTGCTATATGAATCAATCTCTTTCAAACTACAATATTGTGAAAATTTCTTCTCTAATATGAATATCAGTCCAAAATAGTTCAATTCCATTTAGTATTTACAAAGTTATGATAGATTGAAATTTCATTGATTTATGCTGCTCGAGCACATAACAAGATACCACCTAGTTTAGATTGAATCCAAGCCGAGAGATCACCTTTAGATTTTGTTTTCCTAATTAATTGTTAAACATACATTATGCAAGAGCTAAATCTGCCTATTGCAGATCTTTCTTTAGGCCTGAAATGTTATCTAAATTATTAATTAGACATTTATTAACATATCCTGACCATAATCAAGTCTCGATGTCAACGCTAGCCTGCAATATTTACTGGATTAGGATCCGATTTGCTGCTTAACTTTCATTCATTATTTAACCATGAAATGGATAATCGAGACTATGTTTTTTGTCGTACTGACTTTAGTAATGGTGATCGAGGCTAGGCCTAAAATTCAAAAACTAATATCGCGGTTCTAGTGGATCAATTTGAATGAAATTTTCAGCAAATTGCCTTTACATTATCTGGTTTTTAACTATTATAGTGAGAACTGCCAGCTCTTTATCTAATCTCCCATAATGTATCTTTAAGTAATCAGTCTGAGTACACATAATTAGTGTGTTTAAAGATAGTTTAGCAAAAATGCCAATGACACATACATCAAGCCTTTAAATTGAAATTTAGCTTGTTAACCAATAGGAAAGTGTTAATTTCATTTTATATAATTAATTTTCCTGATAATAAATGTTATTGTATTTTGTACTATACCTTGAACCTATGTCCATTAAATGGTTACGGTATCTTGTTCAAGTCAGTGCTTTTTGATGACATTTTAACTTGGATAAATAGGAGTTCTTCCCTCAGACTTCAACTCAATTTAAGTAACAAAAATATGAATTTCAGAATTACAATAAAATGTGTGTATATTTCTAGAATATGATGCTTAAAAATGCATTATGTAAGTGCTAAACCCTCTATGCCATTGTCCAACCTCATGGGTTTTCTCCGGGTCCTCCGGTTTCCTCCCACTGCTAAAGACCCCTATGCGCAAGCGAATTATTGAAATAAAATTAAACCATATGTTAGTCCCGAAATGACCTAGTTTGTGTCGATTGGACGTTAAACCCCATTTCTCTCTCTCTCTCTCTATGCCTTTGCTTAGATATTGATTGGATTAGAACACCCTCACCATTTAATAATTTATAGATAAAATGAAGACTTTGTTTATTGTTGTAACAATAGTACTTAACAATGAAGATTGTTGAAACTTCAAATACTCATAATTTCTGAGTCATAATTTGACTGAAATTTTCTATATGTTCATTTTTATAATCTATTTTTATACTATTATAGCAAGAAGGACCAGCTCTTTATCTAAATCTTACGTAATGCATAGTTAATATAAATAATATTAGTATAAAGAACCTTTGGTCATATGTTGTTCAGTTCTCAACTGTTAAATAAAGAATACATGTATGGGAAATATTTATTATCCAGAATTCTTTCTATTCATATAATCCTCAACCAAATATGCCTAATAATATCTGTAAAACAAATAATATCTCTAATACAAATAATTTCAAAATAAGAAAAGGTGTATGTACAAGAGTTTGTATCCACAATGAATTATCCTAATATTGTTACCAAATTTTCTGTGGGATACCTCTGATTTCATTTCAATAAGTTTGATGATATTCTGTATTTTTATCTGATTTATTCTGTGGTGCAATATTCCCCTATTTTATGAAGTAATTTAACTGAACTGAAGTGACTTTATATTTTTGTAACTTTATTTGGTTCATTTTGTAGAAAACAACCATTTTATGTTGTCATACCATCAAAATGTGTAAAAGTATTTGATGGCATAAATGTTAATATTTATCATAAAATTTAATTCATGAAATGCATCATTAAAAATAGAGATCTGGAGAAAAAAATAAATATCAAATATTAATTGTTTTCTTATTTGTTTTGAGTTGTGTGTCATACGGTCATTGTAATGTTATAGACAATGAGACTCTGTAATCCGGTTAGTGGATTTATTGATGATGATAGAAACTTTACAATTCAAGTAAAATAACTAACAGTAAAAGTCGTGAATAATTAGACAACTGTTATTCTGATGAATACTAATAATGGACATGATGGCTGAATTATGGACTAAGACTAGTAATTATTTCCCCTTATTTCATGATGGGTAGTGCGAGTTATAAATAGACAATTTTTCCCTTAATTATTTCTCCCCTCTTCCTGCATTTTTGGTTGACTTTTAGGTCTAGAATTGGAGAAAAGGGATCAAAATTGCAATTTCATAGCAGTTTTGGGTAATACTGATGATATTACAGCGGAGGGATAGGGGGTGTAAAGTGTCTTTCTGCAGAGCAATCATTGTGTCGGAAGTGAGATTTTCACCCCAGTCAACATCAAATCCACGTAGCAAAAAGTCTAAACGGTCAACCCCCCTACAAAATTATGACGAGGAGATTGCAAAATGTGGTCCCCATTGTGCCTATAAAGATTGGAACCAAAAGAATGTTGAGCAAAAAAGCTACAGCCTGTGACGTTACAGCCATTTAACATTAATGTCAGTGGGCAAATAATTGCTAGTCTGAACCCTTATCATGATATAAGGGAGATAACTTTATTCGGGTGCAATTAATTTCCCCATTGACTTTAATAACTGGGGTTCCAACTGTTCCCGAAATTTTTTTGGGTCTGTCCCTTTGACTAGTGTAAGAGAACAAAATGCCAATGGCCATGTCTTCGCTCAAAATTTTATATTTGGTTGACCATTGGAATTTTGAGATAAAGAAACTCACAAGTAGCATACCAAAAACGCGTAGCTATCCGCCGTACATACATATTATTATAACGAACGTACGTGTTTTGAATATTTACCAATGCCTGTCAGAAAATCTTAATTCAGGGGTTACATTAAGTTTGGTCAAACCACTCAAAGGTCATGCTATCGCTAATCCCAACGCTAACCCTAACCCTTGACCTACCCTTTGGAAATAAAGTGATTATTATTAATATTGTTATTAATATGATTATAGCCCTACAGTATAGTTTACCAGAACCCTAACCTACAATCACGTGCCCTAACCTTATTTACATCTCAGCGTCCTTGACGAAATCTTGAGTTGGCCTTAAACGTAACGGACAATATTGATGTCAGTCATTAGGCCTATCACATATGTGATAGAACTGGAACTGGAGATCATTGCTACCAATAAACATCCACTTAACCCTCGTATCCTTCCGCCTAAATATCATTTATATTCACAAAAACCTGGTGGAAAATGTATATTCAAACCATTGTGTTCAATTTTACACCAAAAAGTCAACAAAGGTCGACATGTAAAAGAGGGGAAAATGGAAAGGGAAAGAAAGACTAAAAATAACTGTCGCCCTACATTCGTGGGTGACGGCGTAGGAATAGGCAATATCTGTCGCAGAGTGAGCAGTAAATGAGTTTTCTCCCCCGTCAAAAACATGTTCGCGTCTACAGCACCCGGTGTTCCCAGGCGGTCACCCATCCAAGTACTGAGCGGGCCCGACGTTGCTTAACTTCAGTGATCGGACGAGAACTGGTGTTTTCAACGTGATATGGCCGTAGACGACGACAGGTGAAAAAATCCCGCAGTTATCTGTCGCAGAGTGAGCAGTAAATGAGTTTTCTCCCCCGTCAAAAACATGTTCGCGTCTACAGCACCCGGTGTTCCCAGGCGGTCACCCATCCAAGTACTGAGCGGGCCCGACGTTGCTTAACTTCAGTGATCGGACGAGAACTGGTGTTTTCAACGTGATATGGCCGTAGACGACGACAGGTGAAAAAATCCCGCAGTTATCTGTCGCAGAGTGAGCAGTAAATGAGTTTTCTCCCCCGTCAAAAACATGTTCGCGTCTACAGCACCCGGTGTTCCCAGGCGGTCACCCATCCAAGTACTGAGCGGGCCCGACGTTGCTTAACTTCAGTGATCGGACGAGAACTGGTGTTTTCAACGTGATATGGCCGTAGACGACGACAGGTGAAAAAATCCCGCAGTTATCTGTCGCAGAGTGAGCAGTAAATGAGTTTTCTCCCCCGTCAAAAACATGTTCGCGTCTACAGCACCCGGTGTTCCCAGGCGGTCACCCATCCAAGTACTGAGCGGGCCCGACGTTGCTTAACTTCAGTGATCGGACGAGAACTGGTGTTTTCAACGTGATATGGCCGTAGACGACGACAGGTGAAAAAATCCCGCAGTTATCTGTCGCAGAGTGAGCAGTAAATGAGTTTTCTCCCCCGTCAAAAACATGTTCGCGTCTACAGCACCCGGTGTTCCCAGGCGGTCACCCATCCAAGTACTGAGCGGGCCCGACGTTGCTTAACTTCAGTGATCGGACGAGAACTGGTGTTTTCAACGTGATATGGCCGTAGACGACGACAGGTGAAAAAATCCCGCAGTTATCTGTCGCAGAGTGAGCAGTAAATGAGTTTTCTCCCCCGTCAAAAACATGTTCGCGTCTACAGCACCCGGTGTTCCCAGGCGGTCACCCATCCAAGTACTGAGCGGGCCCGACGTTGCTTAACTTCAGTGATCGGACGAGAACTGGTGTTTTCAACGTGATATGGCCGTAGACGACGACAGGTGAAAAAATCCCGCAGTTATCTGTCGCAGAGTGAGCAGTAAATGAGTTTTCTCCCCCGTCAAAAACATGTTCGCGTCTACAGCACCCGGTGTTCCCAGGCGGTCACCCATCCAAGTACTGAGCGGGCCCGACGTTGCTTAACTTCAGTGATCGGACGAGAACTGGTGTTTTCAACGTGATATGGCCGTAGACGACGACAGGTGAAAAAATCCCGCAGTTATCTGTCGCAGAGTGAGCAGTAAATAGGCAATATCTGTCGCAGAGTGAGCAGTAAATGAGTTTTCTCAGCCGTCAAAAACATGTTCGCGTCTACAGCACCCGGTGTTCCCAGGCGGTCACCCATCCAAGTACTGAGCGGGCCCGACGTTGCTTAACTTCAGTGATCGGACGAGAACTGGTGTTTTCAACGTGATATGGCCGTAGACGACGACAGGTGAAAAAATCCCGCAGTTATCTGTCGCAGAGTGAGCAGTAAATGAGTTTTCTCCCCCGTCAAAAACATGTTCGCGTCTACAGCACCCGGTGTTCCCAGGCGGTCACCCATCCAAGTACTGAGCGGGCCCGACGTTGCTTAACTTCAGTGATCGGACGAGAACTGGTGTTTTCAACGTGATATGGCCGTAGACGACGACAGGTGAAAAAATCCCGCAGTTATCTGTCGCAGAGTGAGCAGTAAATGAGTTTTCTCCCCAGTCAAAAACATGTTCGCGTCTACAGCACCCGGTGTTCCCAGGCGGTCACCCATCCAAGTACTGAGCGGGCCCGACGTTGCTTAACTTCAGTGATCGGACGAGAACTGGTGTTTTCAACGTGATATGGCCGTAGACGACGACAGGTGAAAAAATCCCGCAGTTATCTGTCGCAGAGTGAGCAGTAAATGGGTTTTCTCCCCCGTCAAAAACATGTTCGCGTCTACAGCACCCGGTGTTCCCAGGCGGTCACCCATCCAAGTACTGAGCGGGCCCGACGTTGCTTAACTTCAGTGATCGGACGAGAACTGGTGTTTTCAACGTGATATGGCCGTAGACGACGACAGGTGAAAAAATCCCGCAGTTATCTGTCGCAGAGTGAGCAGTAAATGAGTTTTCTCCCCCGTCAAAAACATGTTCGCGTCTACAGCACCCGGTGTTCCCAGGCGGTCACCCATCCAAGTACTGAGCGGGCCCGACGTTGCTTAACTTCAGTGATCGGACGAGAACTGGTGTTTTCAACGTGATATGGCCGTAGACGACGACAAGTGAAAAAATCCCGCAGTTATCTGTCGCAGAGTGAGCAGTAAATAGGCAATATCTGTCGCAGAGTGAGCAGTAAATGAGTTTTCTCAGCCGTCAAAAACATGTTCGCGTCTACAGCACCCGGTGTTCCCAGGCGGTCACCCATCCAAGTACTGAGCGGGCCCGACGTTGCTTAACTTCAGTGATCGGACGAGAACTGGTGTTTTCAACGTGATATGGCCGTAGACGACGACAGGTGAAAAAATCCCGCAGTTATCTGTCGCAGAGTGAGCAGTAAATGAGTTTTCTCCCCCGTCAAAAACATGTTCGCGTCTACAGCACCCGGTGTTCCCAGGCGGTCACCCATCCAAGTACTGAGCGGGCCCGACGTTGCTTAACTTCAGTGATCGGACGAGAACTGGTGTTTTCAACGTGATATGGCCGTAGACGACGACAGGTGAAAAAATCCCGCAGTTATCTGTCGCAGAGTGAGCAGTAAATGAGTTTTCTCCCCCGTCAAAAACATGTTCGCGTCTACAGCACCCGGTGTTCCCAGGCGGTCACCCATCCAAGTACTGAGCGGGCCCGACGTTGCTTAACTTCAGTGATCGGACGAGAACTGGTGTTTTCAACGTGATATGGCCGTAGACGACGACAGGTGAAAAAATCCCGCAGTTATCTGTCGCAGAGTGAGCAGTAAATGAGTTTTCTCCCCCGTCAAAAACATGTTCGCGTCTACAGCACCCGGTGTTCCCAGGCGGTCACCCATCCAAGTACTGAGCGGGCCCGACGTTGCTTAACTTCAGTGATCGGACGAGAACTGGTGTTTTCAACGTGATATGGCCGTAGACGACGACAGGTGAAAAAATCCCGCAGTTATCTGTCGCAGAGTGAGCAGTAAATGAGTTTTCTCCCCCGTCAAAAACATGTTCGCGTCTACAGCACCCGGTGTTCCCAGGCGGTCACCCATCCAAGTACTGAGCGGGCCCGACGTTGCTTAACTTCAGTGATCGGACGAGAACTGGTGTTTTCAACGTGATATGGCCGTAGACGACGACAGGTGAAAAAATCCCGCAGTTATCTGTCGCAGAGTGAGCAGTAAATAGGCAA